AGGAATGCCAGTCTCCACGGCGTGCTCGGCCCCGTGGCGTGAGTGTCACTCATGAGCCACAGGACAGCGATGACCTGTGCTCGATCAGCTTCCCAGGCCTTCACTTTCCTTTACCTGCATCTGTCCTCTGCAGAAAGATGTTTATTACCCCACCACAAATAGGTGTCATCTCCACTTCTCAGTTTTCTTGACTGCAAGCTCCTGCTCTTGTTATCCGGATGGGAGCAGAGAGCGCAGCCCTGATGGCTGACGAAGGCAGTGTGGGTCGTGTGTAGTGGGCAGCTGCGTGAGCATTTCCTTTTGGGTCACTCTGAGTGTTGACGTCCACTGTTTGTTCAGATTATCTTTTTTTAAATAAACCTTGGCCTAATTATTCTGTTGGTAATCGCACTGGTTTAGGAAAATCTAAAATGATCAGAGGCTGGAGGAAGGGCTTGAAAACTAAATTGAAAAATGAATTATTTGGTTCTGGAAGGGGTGAAGAAGTTTAAGTATGAAATCTGTTTTTTTTTGAGAAGTTTGATTTTCAGACGTGGCTGTGATTTGGCTGCTACAGCCAGGGTGGAGGGGTCAGGCGAGTTAGCTAGGGACTGGCAGCAGCCCAGGAGGCAAAACTGGCAAGAGCGGGCGGTTCCCCGCCCAGAGGGGACTGGAACATCTCCCCTATGAGGAGAGGCTGAGGGAGCTGGGCTTGTTCAGCCTGAAGAAGAGAAGGCTGAGAGGGGACCTAATAAATGCTTATAAATATCTGCAGGGTGGGTGTCAGGAGGATGGGGCCAAGCTCTTTTCAGTGGTGCCCAGTGACAGGACAAGGGGCAATGGGCACAAACTGAGGCACAGGAAGTTCCGTCTGAACATGAGGAAGAACTTCTTCCCTCTGAGGGTGACGGAGCACTGGAACAGACTGCCCAGGGAGGTTGTGAAGTCTCCTTCTCTGGAGATATTCAAGCCCCGCCTGGACAAGGTCCTGTGCAGCCTGCTCTGGGTGACTCTGCTTCGACAGGAAGGTTGGACTGGGTGACCCCCAGAGGTCCCTTCCAACCCCTACTATTCTGTGATTCTCTGATTCCTGTGACGGTGGTTGGTTTGAGCTGCGTCTCAGCTACGCTGCCGTGCAGCAGGGCAGGCTCCCCCGCTCCGTGGTTGCTGTGGCTGGGAATGGGAGAGGAATTTGGTTGCGGGGAGGTGAAACCACTCTGCTCACGCTTGCTGTGGTGGAGATAAGGCCTTGAGCCTTCGCCGCGCCGTGGTTGCCTGCGGGGAGGCTGGAGGTGCGGCAGCTCCTTTCGGTGGGGAGGGAGAGGAGTCGGAGGCGAGAGCTTCAGGCTCTGCAGCCTGCAGCCTCGGGTGGCATCCGTCACCCAAGCCATGCTGAGCGGGAGGAGCAGGGAAGCCCTCGTAGCCTGCTGCCTTCCTCTCCTGATTTGGCTTTCCCAGCCATTCCCCGAGGAGGTGGCTCCGCAGGGGAGTGGAAGTGAGCTTTGCCTTGCAGATAAGGAGCGCTGCGTGGAGCTGAAGAAGGCCTTGTGCACCGCTCATGAGAAGTTCTGCTTCTGGCCGGACAGCCCCTGCCCAGGTTGGTGTCTCAGAGCCCGGCTAGTGCACGTGTCCGGCATTATTCCCTTTTTTCTCCCTTTCTGTTGCTGCTCTTGTCTACCATTGTAGGAACTGTGGTTTCTCTTCAAGTTCTCAAAGCAGGCAGTGTCATCGCAGTCCCCTTTTTCCCTGTGGGGACGATGAAACACACAATGACAAAGCAGCCTTAGTGAATAAACAACCAAACTGGGGCTGGAGCCCCTGGCCAGGCTGTACCCAGCCTCTCTGGACCTTTGCGTGTCTCTAGGCCAGTTTAAATGCTTTTTGGTTTGTAACTGGGTGTGGACAGGGGAAGTTGGAGGACATGGGATGCTCAGAGGGTGATAGATCTCATCTCCAAAGCTGCGCTGCACGGGGAAGGGTGGTTGCGAAGGAGAAAGGCAGTGCTCAGCTTTTCTTTTAAAAGCCAGGAGACCATCGTGGGGACACCTTGGCTGGATTTGTCTTCTCCTCCCTTGCCCTACGGGAGAAGGAGGGGCTGGAAGGCTGGTAGCTCAACTCAGGCCTCCTGTGTTTGCTTTCACCAGATCGCTTTGCCATGCTGCTGGTGGATGAGCCCAGAGCCCTTCTCCAGGACTTCCTGGACCGCTTTCAGAGCCTGTGTCAGCTGGAGCTGCAGCTGCCTTCCCTCAGACCAGAAGACATGAAAAACATGGTGAGTTCCCATCTGCCCCCGAGATCGGGTGCGTTCCAGTCGTCGGTGGCAATGCTGGGCACGCCTCTGCTGTACAAACCGTGACCAAAACAGTCGCGAGATGAGGTGGGTTGAGAACTGGCTGAAGGGCAGAGCTCAGAGGGTTGTCATCAGTGGTGCTGAGTCTGGTTGGAGGCCGGTAACTAGTGGTGTCCCCCAGGGGTCAGTACTCGGCCCAGCCTTGTTTAACTTCTTCATCAATGACCTGGATGAAGAGGTAGAATGTACCCTCAGCAAGTTTGCTGGTGACACCAAACTGGGAGGTGTGGTAGACACACCGGCAGGCTGTGCTGCCATTCAGCGTGACCTGGA